AAAAAAAAGGGAATATTTTACGAAAAAAAAATTATTTGCGCTGATATTCAGAAACTACACAGACTTAACCAATAATATTGTTAGAAAGTGTTACCCTTTGGGTCATCTTTCATCTCCGTGAATTTGGGGTCAATCGGTGCATTTTCACGGGAGTAGCAGCCACAAGATACCGAAACTGAAAACTGTCTCTAATTCGGGAACCGTTAATGCTAGAGACCCATTCTTTTTTGCATTTTGTAGAGCGTGTAAAGCCCAACACTGAAAGTGGTCTCCGTTTTTTTGCATTCCATACGGTTTTCGAGTTATACTGTTTCAAAAAGTACATTGTGGTGGTGAAAGCAAAATGTGCAATACGGTAATGGATAATAAATTTTGAACTCCGGGAAAGTAAAACATAAGGCTCGGCGAGGCAGACAACTTCTGGTCAAAAATGACATTATTTCATGAAATTTGAACATCTGGAACTTCTGAGCACCTCCCATTTCAAGAATTTCAACCGAAATGACCTATTCTTTATTTTAATTAATTTTTTTCTGAAGATATCTCCAAAACTGGCAAAGAAATGCCCATAGTTACTTCTGAACTTGAATAGGAAGTCATATACTGGCAATCTAACTGTGACCTTAACATTGACCTTTGACCTACTTTTCACCCTAAACTGAACTTTGCAAACTTCCGTTCCCTTTTATCTCCAAAATTGGCAGAGATAGGCCATAGTTACTATAGAACTTGAATAGGAAGTCATACACTGGCAAATAAAGAGTGGCCTTGAAATTGACCTTTGACCTACTTTTTATTAGGAACTGAACTTTGCTAATTTCTTTCCCTTTTAACTCCAAACCTGGCAGAGATAGGTCCATAGTTACTATTGAACTTGAATAGGAAGTCATATACTGGTAATCTTACTGTAACCTTGAAATTGACCTTTGACCTACTTTACACCATAAAGTTACTTTGCAACTTTTTTAATGCTTATACTTTCAAAACTGGCAAAGATACGTCCATAGTTACTATTGAATTTGAATAGAAAGTCATTAGAGGCCATTTACTGTGACCATAAAATTGACCTTTGACCTACTTTTCACCATGAACTGAACTTTGCAAATTTTCATTCCCTTAAATCTCTAAAACTGGCAGAGATAGGCCCATAGTTACTATTGTATATGAATAGGAAGTCATATACTGGCAATCTAACTGTGACCTTAAAATTGACATTTGACCTACTTTTCACCATGAACTGAACTTTGCAAATTTTCATTCCCTTTTATCCCTAAAACTGGTAGAGATAGGTCCATAGTTACTACTGAACTTGAATAGGAAGTCTTACACTGTCAATCTAAGTGTGACCTTGAATTTGACATTTGACCTACTTTTCATCATGAATTGAACTTTGCAAAATTTGGTTTCCTTTTATCTCCAAATCTGGCAGAGATAGGCCCATGGTTACTATTGAATTTGAATAGAAAGTCGTATACTGGCAATCTAAGTGTGACCTTAAAATTGACCTTTGACCTGTTTTTACCATGAACTGAACTTTGCAAATTTTCATTCCCTTTTATCTCTAAAACTGGTATAGATAGGTCCATAGTTACTATTGAACTTGAATAGGAACTGTGACCTTGAAATTTACCTTTGACCTACTTTTTTATGATGAACTGCTTTTTGCATGTTTTCTGGCCTTTAAATCTGCAAAATTGGCAAAGAAATGCCCATGGTTACTATTGAACTTGAATAGAAATTCATATACTATGATATTGAAATTGACCTTTGACCTACTTTTTTACCATGAACTTTGTCCCTGATATCTTCAAAACTAGCAGAGATGTGCCCGGTGTTGCCGCTAGGTTTTCTCATTTGTCAGCATATATGCACCACTGACAATACATATCAAGGAAAACGAATAGGCTTTTTGTCTAGAAAATCACAGGAGTGATCAATCGTAGGAAAATGCAGGTCAATTCGAAAATCTGTTTGATTATACCATTTTTAGTTATTATTATTATTATTATTATTATTATTATTATTGTTTTTTTTTTTTTTTTTTTTTGCATATTTTGAGAACTCTTGTTGATTGTATTTTTTAGAGCTTGTCAAGCACAAGACTGGTGGTGTCCCTTTTTTTGGGAGGGGGGTTCCATACGAATGCGTTTACTCCAGCTGGTGGTACAATATTCGGAGGCGGTATCACCTCTCTGATCCTCTAGTATTTATTTTTAGATTCAGTTTAACTCGGGTGCCTCCGTGACATTGAGCGATTTGAAACATGCCATGAGGGTAGATATTGAATTACCAGTGTATTTCAAGTATCAGGGAATGACGGGATTGTGTGGAAATTATGACGGCAATATGACCAATGATGTCGAGGACCATAACCATGAACCTTATAATAGTCCATTTCTAGAGAGATATAGGTTTGTCTGTTTACATGTCTACTTATCATTTTCATTACCATTGGGTTTGTCTGTAAGTCAGTGTTTGTGCATCTATCTATTCATTCTCTGTGTCATATTGGAATTTGCCATATACCTTAGCAATCATGATTTAGTCTTTCTTTACCAGGATTAAAAGAGAGAACGAAAGTTTATTTGAACCAATGTATGCCCCGGCAGCAATATCATCAAACGAAGATACGTTCCACGAGACGCAGCGGCGGTATTGCCATTGCCAAATAGTCGACGAGAAAACCAACGTCATTTTTTGCAATGCCACTTCGCAAATTGAAGATCCAACAAATATCACAGGTACCGTTGATATCGGTCCTATTTTGAGAAAACAGATTTTGGACAAGATAAGGCAAAAGCGATCAGCGCCCGATTCAATTTTTTCAGACGATGTTTTTGTGGCCTATGAGACGGATTACGACATGTCTGAAATCACTCCCGTAGAACTACAAGTCAATTTGTCACAAGGAATGGGAAGACAAGATGCTGAAAATTACTGTTCCGGAGTATTGAGAAATTCAACCATTTATAACATGTGTCTAAATCTTGACACCTTCTCCATGAATGCGACCTTGTCTGGCTGCGTAGCCGACCTGCAGGTAGATAACATAACAACGTTGGATCAGAAAATATAATAATTTATTTTTTACTTAATGAAACATATAAATCCTATTAAGGGTATATCCACTACATTATTTTATGTTTAATGATCAAATCCTTGACCTATGTAAGATGAAACCCTGAAGACTTTAAATGGCCATGTTTTCGTTGAACAGGTCTTTATTTAAGCCTTAATGAAAGCAGAAAATTTACCTACGATAGATACTCCAAAATGGTGGTTTTATTTCCATTTCTCGTTACGTATGGCGCAATTGAGAACTTCTTGTACAGGTACTGTTTTGCTATAAATTTCTGTATCGGGCAAGGAGAGTAGTTGGGTGTTAAATGTTTTTTGTAAGGGCACAACATATCCTAATTCATATTCAGAAGAGTGATGAATATGTTATTTAAAAAGGTATAACGATTTGCCTAAATGTTTATTCAATGTTTCAGATTACAGGTGATAAAAGTTTTGCTATGAGTTCGAGACAGTCCATGGAGGAAACGTGCATAGAAGAGGCAAACAAAATAGCCCCACCTCCGACACCAGAAGAACTCTGGGATCCTTTTGCTACAACGCCAGCAACACCGGGTAATTCAACAGATGGGTACTGGAAATCTACAACAGCAGCCTACAGTCCAACTCCGAAGGGTCCGTCTTTAACCGAGCTCATAAAGTCTCAAGCCTGTCCTTCAAGCTGTAGTGGCAACGGAGATTGCATTTCTGGAACCTGCACGTGCTACCTTGGCTACACTTCTTTGGACTGCTCCATTCCAATCAACAAAGCGCCTGAGATCCTTGAATTGAGCGGTGATGGTCTCTGCGACGTAGACGTCCGTCCGTGTCTCAAGACGCATCTTTTTGCCGAGCCGATTTATGATTCCACCAATTTTACATGTAGAGTGAGCAAAGTGAAGGTAAAGCTTTAATACCCTTTTGTAAGTAGCTACAAAAGTTTTTAACAGTTGAGTGATCTATTTTACATTATCTGCACGGCGACAGTAAGCATATCGACCGAGGGACCGAGTTGCAAGTTGAACATTCTACTCCTCATAAAGTAAGTTCTAGTTATTCACCAATATGGATTAAGAAGGTTGACCTGTTCATTACGGTTTTCAAAATGCACACATAAACTTAATGAAGGTGCAGCATTTTTTGTTAATCACATGTCAAACGAAACTGCCAAATAAGTAAGTTGGATAAGTTCAAACCAAGCCTAAAATATCTCCTATATTACTCTTAGCAAATTTGTAAACTTTTGGCATTTAAAGGTGGACGTGAAAAAGGGAGTCAGAAGCACTGTGTGGTTTGAAACCGTACGGACACGCGCCGAATTGATTTCATTCGCTGAGATGATCTGCCATCTTCCCCGAGAGCCTATCATTCCACCAACCAAGGATATCGCTCCAGTAGGGAACCCAGTGCAGGGATTACTGGTGTCAGTGAGCAATGACGGGAAAAAGTTCTCAGAAGAAGTACCGCTGACAATTTACGATTCTGTCTGCATTGAATGTTCGAAGACAAACTCTAAGAATATAACCGAAGAACCAGTTTGTACGAGAAAGGTATTGGCATCCACTGGACCTTATGCATGAAAGTCACTAGTCACTGTTATTTGAAAGACGGGCTCTATTTATGTTTCACAGCGACTTCTAGATAATAAAATATGATTAAAAAGAAAAAAAGCTATTTTATGAAATGTTTGCACGCTCTCTCGAGGTCATGTATTCTGTAAATAACAGTAAGTCTCCTTTGCTGCACAACTGTCTTAAGTTTAACGCTAAATAATAACGATATCAGGCAAATGTATATCTACAAAACATTTAAAAGAAGTATTAAGAGGGGTTTATTTTAAACCGACGCATTAATGCCTTTGTCTTACACAGCCTGGAACCTGCCTTATCAATGGGTATTGTTACGCTGATGGTGACCCTAATCCTGCCCGACCTCTATGTCAGTTCTGTGACGTCAGGACATCTGAGGACCATTTCACCAATGTAACAGGTAAGAATAAATGTCATTTTCACATGTTCTGGTATGAAACAGCATATTTTATTAGATGTGAGATGACCTTAAGGTTATTATAATGTTTTTTTTGTTTGTAAGTGTCTATTTTGGGTTGCGTTGCAAAATAGAAGTGCTATGAACCGCAGCTAGCTCATTCAGTAGTTGTTAAACGCCAACTGTGGAACTTCCATTATAGCTTTCTAAATATCCCAGTTAATGATGCTGTAGAAACATTTAAAATAAAAATTCTGTTACTTTGTAACTGATTTTCAAGACTGCCGCGTATAATTATTTAATGTAGTTGGTAAAGCTAGCATACAGGTATTTCACGTTGCTTTTAAGAAATTCATATTACGATGTTATTTCCAACTGTTTTACTTCTGTTTGATTTCAGTAACGACCCAATGTGACAAGTGCCTCGGGTTCCCCTGTTTCTGTGACGGTAAAGGATGGCAGTGTCAATGTGGGGCAGGCTACACCATCGACAGTAAAACCCTGGGTTGCGTTGGTAAGTAAATCCATTGGGATCCATTTGCTATTCTATAGGGACAATAGTGTCTGTACCTGTAATATTGCAAACATGATTTTTGTCTCATTAATGTTATTTGACCATAAGCAAAAATGTGTGGATGCGAAGCTTTGATTTTTTCTTTACAATGGATCAATTGCACGTTAATATTGATATTAATTGCATATTTATTAAACATGAAATACTTAAAACTATAATTGTTAAAATAAAAATAAATAAAACATAGGAGTGACATATTTAATGTAGGTTATCTAGGGTTGAATTGTCTCCTATAATGTGGACAATGGTGCTTTCTAATGTAACTTTTCCTTTACGATTATATACTAGATGTGGATGAATGCAAAGCTTCAGACCCGTGTCCTCCGAATTCCGTCTGTAACAACACCATAGGGAGTTTCGAGTGTCTGTGCGAGTCCGGCTTCAAGAAGTCCGTTTATGGAGCCTGTGTCGGTAAATACACATTATTTTAAGTTTTGAAGTACATTGGAATGATTCCCTGATTAAGTATTTAATTTCAGAATTGGTGTGAGATCTCACTTGGTATATCCTTTATTATATTGGTCATAAGAAGAGTATTAAATTCCGAGGAATTTCTATGGTCCTATATTAACATGATGATAATATGATTAGCCTAACGTGTTGCTAAAGTATGCTTTAGAAAATGTGGGTTTAATGTACAAATGCCTTTTATCTTTATATATCATTTATTCATGGGCAGTCGAGTGGTGCATTCTACGTACAGCAGTGATTAGGGAATGTTTAGATTCTGTTTCATTAACATTTCTACTATTCCAGACGTAAACGAGTGCACCGATCCAGGAGTGTGTCCAGGTCAACACTGTGTTAACTTGGAGGGTTCCTTCCGGTGCCAAGACTGTCCCATTGGGTACTCTTCTCCTGGCTGCAAGGGTGACGTATTTTATTATTAACTTCTCTAATTACCTTTTCGTTTGAGGACGGTATTTCAATTGCAAAATGGTCATTAACTTGATATAGCTATGACCTTCTGTCTTATATACCGTGTATCTTCATATATGTGCCAAAGATCCATGGTTTTTAGGCCACATATCCACATGCTGTACATATCAAACAAAGCTTCATTATCTGCAATGCATAAGTAATTTTTGTTCGAATGATAAAATGAAAAATGATATGAGAAAAAATATATTTTACGCGACAAGGTCGTTATTTTTTATTGTAATTTTATTCAACCATTTGTTGCAAAATCTCCTAATCTGTGGAATTTTTTAATTCTTCACCTCCTGATTCTTAAATATATTTTAAATTGCTATTTACTTGTACGTTCTTCAGATATTGACGAATGTCAAGATTCGACACAATATCCATGTAATCCGTACGACGTTTGCCTAAACACAGACGGGAGCTACAAATGCATTCGTAAGTTGAAATGCAGGATTCACACGTCCGCAACCTACATAAGGCTTTATATATCTTTTTTGAACAATTTTTTGACATTTGATGTGTTCAAGGATGGTAGGTTAAGATATTTGTTTTAAAAAAGTTCAACTTTTTTTCTCTAAACACGAAAGATCTGAATTATTTGTATATTGAATATATATTGCATGTGTTATTGATGGATTGGGTAAAGTAATAATTTAAACCAATTTAGTATCTTATAGTTGTATGATTTTGAACTTTTCTATTCAGATCGTGACTGCCCACCGCAGTTCCAGAAAGTGGGAACAAAGTGCATTTACATTTCGTCGGCCAAGGCGAATTTCCAGGATGCCAATGCCAAGTGTCGTGATCTCGGCAAAGGATTTGGCCACCTTACTATTATAGAAGACAAGCTTCTGTATAAGAGATTGACCAACCAGATGGCTTTGGAACTAAATTATTGGATAGGTAAGTGCAACACTGATTTTCATAACTTACAGCCGTAAATAAAATTGGGTTTGAATGTTTTAAAGTTTGACAAATAATATTAGTCGACATATCGGATGGAATGATGTCAAAATGAGTCTTATAAACTATGTGCACGGTTTCTGTACAGTATGCTTTTTTGTTTCGTTTAGGAATCCGCAGTGAAGCCGACGGTTCACTGAAGTACGTAGACGGTAGACCAATGCAAACCAACGCCTACAATGAATGGGAAACTTCCCCTAAGGCTAATCCCAGCATGCAGTGCGCAATGATGTCCGGCCCAAAGGACTTTGTGTGGATCATGCGCAACTGCGATGAATCGTTGCCCTTTGCTTGTGAGGCACCAATGAAGAACAACCAACCTTTGATTGGTTAAACTGGACATCTCAATCGTAGATTTTTGGCGCAAAATGTATTTTACTTGATTACAATAAATTCTGCGTAGGCCCTACTTCTCGAAAAAGACAATCGTGGCTTATAGCCAAAACTTTTAAGCTTAAGTGTGGAATAGACGTTCCGTGTGGCATGTGAATCTGTACATAACGTGAGAGCTGTGATTCAGTATTTCTGAAAATATTGAGTGTCTCCAATTTAAATCGAAACACGGCCATGGTTTCACCTGATGTTTTGGTGTGTAATATCTTTTTCAGAGATACTGCTCAGAGCACGCTCTTCAGCTTTGTTCACTTTGCTATTATGACACCACCACAATCACGTAACTGACATATGGTGTAACTGTATGCCACCATGCACGTAGTACTTCAGAATTTCTTTTCACGTATATTCAAGTGAAATCCTGTTTTTTCCACAACACAAAAGACGGAAAGCCATTCCGTTTACGTTTTTGACAGAAAAAAACATCTTAACCACTTTAAAATTACAAACATCTGTTTCAGAACAACATATGTAATGGTAGGAAGAAAAGAGATGCATTCTAATGTATTGGTTTTACTTTCAGCACTATCTCTGTATATTTGAAATCACGAGATCACTACTCTTTTCCTCCTAGAAATCAAATATGTATACGTTCTTGGATAAGTACAGCTACATGAATTTTATGAAAGAAAGCATATATACTCACATACATACAGACACAATTGTAAGAACGCTACATAAAAATACATACGTTTGCCTTTTATTTTATTTTAGATGTGTAACTGTTTAATATTGTGTATTATTCAACTTAAAGCATCAGCTTTCGAATCAAAGTGAATAAAATGGCTTTTAGCAGCATTCCGTGCGTTAATGTTATACTTATGGCAACAAAGTCGACTCTCACTCCACAGAAATACAGTGTTTATCATGATATATGCATACCACATTGACACAAAAATGAATTTATGTAAAAGAAAATAATAGTTATATTTTAACACGGAAATATTCACAAATATCCAGAACAACAACACTGACCTGGTTGAATAAACTAAACCGTTCCCTTTGATAACGTACATACGAGATTGTACCATTTTTTGTATTTTAATATAAATAAAAAAGATACAGAAACCGGAAGAAAATCAATTTCTATAATATTATTTCTCTATTTTCTATAATTAAGCACATAGTGGTCTAACATTAAAGGGAATGTAAAACACTAGACGAGATTTATAACAAAACAAGTGGGGTGCCCATATAGAAAAAAAACGCCTTTTTTGTAGAGAAAAACGGGAAAATAAGGGAATATCTCCAGTGAGGTTGTGCCTTATTTATATCTTTTTGACAACTTAATTGGGCATTTAGCAAAAGGGAAAACCTCGCGTCATGTGACAAATCAGCTTCATAATCTTTTAGGACTATTAATTCTAGATAAATTCTTAACTGCCTACTGTGTGCCTCGATCAGTTTGATGATCAAGCTATCAATTTCATATATATATAATCTATACTTCAATTTGCTTTAAGTAGGTTTAAAGCATTTTTTTCAAATGATTTTACGGACGTTTTCTCAAATATCGATCCAGCAAATTACTGACTGTGCTCAAAAGAGTTTCTTAATGCAACACTCCCCCTTCATTATGCTTCACCAAAGTTGCAATCGGGAGATTTGTACTATTAACATCATTACATCTTCTGGTCTGAGTTTATCGTACGTATAGTTTTTATTTACTTCGACTAAGCGGACCTTCGGCTATGGTGAAATGCATCTTTATTTGAGGGATGCACGAAGAAATCCACTTCAGTACTAAGAAAAAATCTGCAGACGTTAAATGACTGACATCAAAGGAATTCCAGTTTAGTAAACTGTATCCCTCTTTATCATAGACGGCTTTGATTACAAGCCGAACATTAAATCACTCTGAGGGGATAAGTCAGATAAGAATAAAAGCAAAGTACACATTAGGTTGAAGGCCAACCCTGGCCAAGTCACGATAAGCGCCATAAAAACACGATCTTGACACCCCTGGGGTGAAATGTTATCTTTTTCGCAGTCAAGCGGTTGGTCGGTTTTATTTTTCTTCCTGCTTCACTTTTCAATACTCTTTCTTCGAAGCTATATTTAAAATGGGTTTCATTAAATCACTGCCATTTAAATTGAGTTCTATTAAACTGGTTCCATTTAAAATGAATTCTATTAAATCACGAGATCCAAATTAATCCCTGCCCATTGCTATGGAATGAGGTTTGGTCCTGATATTAAAATGGTAAGGTCGCAGGCTTTGCGATATATGTTGTAAAGAAGCGATTGGTCGGTTTTATTTTTCTTCCTGCTTTAAACATTTATCACAGTGACTTAATTAAATTATTTATTACTTAAAATGTCAAGATAAGATGTATTTATACTTTCTTCAAAAAGGATCACAGTTTATTGTCGTTGAAGTTCATATATGTTATAAACATCGCTTCTAGAGTGTTTAATCAGATATCGGTTGAGAGATAACCTAGCAATGTTTCTTGCACCGGTAACAGTGGCGTTTATGTTCGGAGTAATCCGTTTGCATTTGACCTGGGCTTCCCCATGCGATAAGTACACCGTCCTTCATAATGCAAATAGACATATAACACATAGAGCTACTTGGACTGAATCCCTTCACTGCGACTCCAGTTTAAGCACGACTGAATGGTATCGCTTCATGGGCCCAGCCGGCGACAGGCTGGCTGACAACACTAGCATTCCGGTGGCATTTGAGTGTGGAACTGTGGGGCCTATTTACCTGGCGTCAAGACATCCTCCTGATCCTGATCCGAGCAACAAATCTCAATGTAACGTCTCAGCACCTGGTAACACTTATAATCTGTGTGCACGTTACGGTAGATCCAACTGCGATGCCAAGTTCCAAATTGATATCCATCAGTGTTGTGCTCCCGGTGATACATTCTTTGTGTACAGATTGAAGACTCCTATTGCTGGATGTCCATTGGCGTTATGCGGGGCAGGTCAGTCTTCTTTTAAAACATTCTTATTCTTATTCATTCTAGACATTCATAGTATAATTGGTCAATGATTACATCTCAGCGTAATATCATCAGCGCATGGCCAGTTTTTCTTGAGGATGGCTCTTAAGTAGAGCCGAAAATTTTACGGTACGAAAATAATGGGATAAAAAAACTGTCTGTGGAATTTTGAATTCAACTATTCATTACTCATTTATGATCGACGAAGTTGGTTTTGAATATAGTAATATAATTTCAAGTATAATATATTACTTTTTATTTGACCCACTGCTCTTTTTCTCGGTTAACGTAATGATGCATGGCTTGGAAAGCGTTTAAATTATCGAAACATAATTTGATATTATGGTTTCTTCTTTTAGGAAGACAGCAGACTTTGTGTCCGATTGGGACTATTCCGATTGGACCTGCTTGCGTTCGTATGTATTGCAATTTTGCTTTATAATTACATACGCCGTGGGTAATTATGGTGCCTGACTTTAAGCTGCACAAAGTTTGGGTTAAAGTATATGTTTTCACGGGACTTCTACGTCAGATTATACTAGTAGATGAAGGATGACCCTAATTTATCTGTGTCTTTATCAGGTGGCTCTTATTGAAAATTATATATTTCAAGATATTAATTTTGAATCAGCCATATTCTTATAACAGTGACTTTGAATGGTTTAATGATTGTTTAAAGATAGTTTATGATATCTATTCACTTAGATATAACACCGTGTAGTTTTGAATAACTCCATCATTTCAGCACCTTTTCCGACCATATTAAACCAACCCAAAATAACAGGCCCTCACATTGACGGACAAGATTTCACTTTCAAATGTGAAGTAAAACCAGATGGGAATGTAAATAACATCCAAGAGGCAAACTATGATGTACAGTTCCTGTTTGATGGAGAAAACGAAACTAATGCTGTTGGTCCTGCCAACTATATGAATGGATTCAAGGCGGCGCTGAACCAGATGGACATCGCAGGAAAACTGGGAAAACGCGTATGTTTTAACATATGGGACACAAGAGACCCACACATACATGACCTAAAGTACACGAAATACTTTCAAAATATTACAATACATGGTGGAATAATATTTTGATAACTGTTATCATTTTTATTTTTCGTCAGCTTCAGAAAGACACTGTGCCAAATAAAAATCCGATACATTTCGCAACCCTCTGAGAAATTGTGCGATATAAAAGCCTATGTCTGCTCTTAAATAATCAGATATGTTTAAATCTTTGTAGATAACATGTAGGGCTCGAGGTTTCTGGACGGGAAAAAAACCCGGAGAGGGTTACAAATACAGCAGCAACTGGTACTGGGCTGGCATTCAAGTAGGTTTCCTTATCATTTCTCAGCACTCATAATACATATCCATGTGCATCGAATGTAAGCATAAAATGACAGTTTATTTTACTTCATTATGTTAAGCGTGGACAATATAACTAATTTCGTAATTTTGTCCATATGTAAAGTAAAAGCATTTTCAAATATATAAATTAAGTGAAATAAGAATTGTTTTTCTCTCTTATTTTGTAGGTTCGCCAAATAGAAAAAAATGGAAACAGAAAACAGGTGCTGGCAATACACTTGGTCGATTTCAAGAGGCCGATCTTATTGGAATTGCATTCCACTCTGCCGATACTATTTGGTTCCCACAAAGACTTTACCGTTAACTTTTTCACCAACAGATTTCTACCGCGTGCTCCAGTAAAGTTACAAGTGACAATGAAAACTAGAATCGAGGGTATTTCCGTAGCAGGGGGCTCAGGTGCTGAACGGTGTTCTGCCAGTTTTTTTGAGGGTGATTGGAATAAAACCCTTGATGGCGCGACCGTTTCAAGAACCACACTCACCGTAGTGTCCGAAGTTGACGACCAGTATGCTGTGCGAAGGAACTCGAGGAAGTGGTTTCTGTCATTGCAAACCAGCGACTATTTATTTCCATCAATTTGGAAAAAATATCGCATTGCTGATATTCCGGTATGTTT